AACGGTGGCCAACCCTGCTGTTGCTTTCTTCACCAAAGCGCCTCAGTACTACGTTCAGGCCTAAGTCGCTGCCGCCTTTCCAGTGGGAAAGGCGGCAGCGATCGCGCCTACATGTCTGTAATCGGAAACTTCTGTCTTTTACAGCTGCTGCTTTCTGGGATCGCTGATTTTGGAAACGTCACACTCGGCGAAACGGTATCACTGCGGCACACGCCTGGTGATCGCCGGGGAATTCCCGATGACCGTAACCAACAACCTGATCATCGCTGGACCACTCAGCACTTCCGGCATGACAGTCTGTATCGCCTCCGTTCGGGAACGTCAGCTGACATCCTGGATGAACGGCACAAAAGGACGGTTTTCGACCGATCTGGCTTCAGTGGGAAAGGCGGCAGCGATCGCGCCAACATGTCTGTAATCGGAAACTTCTGTCTTCTACAGCTGCTGCTTTCTGGGATCGCCGATTTTGGAAACGTCACACTCGGCGAAACGGTATCACTGCGGCACACGCCTGGGGATCGCCGGGGAATTCCCGATGACCGTAACCAACAACCTGATCATCGCTGGACCACTCAGCACCTCCGGCATGACAGTCTGTATCGCCTCCGTTCGGGAACGTCAGCTGATATCCTGGATGAACGGCACAAAAGGACCATTTTCGACCGATCTGGCTTCAGTGGGAAAGGCGGCGGCGATCGCGCCAACATGTCTGTAATCGGAAACTTCTGTCTTCTACAGGTAAGGGCAAATGCTCCCTGTTACCGTAGTGACGATAGATTTCTATTGCTGCTGCCTTTCCCACAAAGAGCACGAAACTTACTACTGTCTATGAAAGTGTTTTTTATAAGCTTGCTGATTCTAGCAGGCGATGTCGAGGAAAATCCTGGCCCCGACACTGATATGGCTATCATACCACAGCAACTACAGAAGGGTCAGTCAGCTATTTTGAGCAAACTTGACGACATCGAGAAAAGACAAACAACCCTAGTAGCACCATATGTTGCCATAACGTGACTGGAATGTCACAAATGTAATGTAACGTTGGGGCACATTTGGGTATGTTATAGCAATGTTTGAAAACTAACGTAACAGAAACGTTCTCCTGTAACATTGTTTGACTGTCACTGAACGTCATGTAACGTTACATCACATAGGCAAACGTTCCAGGAATGTTAGAGAAGCAACATTGGAGCAACGTTTAGAAATAACCTCTTGGCAACATTTCCATCCTGACATACGGGCAATGTTATGCAGCGATGTTGGCCTAATGTGACGAAATGTGACGCATCATTACATCACACAGAGGCTGGTCAAGGATACACGAAGATACCAAACTTATAATAGTTCAATGTTGATTCTCTTGTTCGAACATTTTTATTTTTTTACAAACAGAAAGACCGCTCTAATGCTTGTGACGGGCGTGTTTGAAACAAATGTTCAAAATGTACCCTGGAAAGATTGCAGAAAATTAAAAAAAATCTGTCCAAAAGGTTTATGATAAAATTGAATTCATTTGTGTGTATGGCATTTCCTTGCTTCCAATATTCACGAGCTAGCATGCACCCTCATCATAGCTTTTAGGTTAAGGTCATTCGAATGTCCAGCTTTTGGAACGCATGCTAAAGATAACAAGAGGGTGAAGTCATGGGGTGTTATTGTGTTATCAAAGGTGGAAAACTCGCGCTGGTGACGCGACGACCCAAAGACCTCCCGAACATGTATAGGATGGCATGAGAGTCGTAGCCTGTAAATTAATTTGGAACATGTAGCTAGCTAAAATTATCACCAAAAGTGTATTTTAGTTGTGTGCTCTATTGCGTTATTTTCGAAGCGTAGCTCTGTTTCTGTGAAAAATACGAACATGATTACCCTACGGCCAGGTCGCAGAGAGCTCTTGGGGTCGACCGACTGCTCTATCCGACCCGAGCTTGCTGCAAAATGATTTCTACTATTTAAAATAGAAGCGAGGACTAATTTCACGACGGACTCGGGTCAAATCGAGCGACTGGGTGGTTCTTACTCTCGCCCTGTCTAGGTTGTCTGCGCCAGTGCTTGCCATAGAGATTGAGAGAAATCTTGGAGCGTGCAGTATAAGATACACCCTGGTTGAAAATTTGAAATAGTTACATGCAGAAGCTCATATTTCAGTCCAATTTACAGCTCAGCACTCTATTCGGAAAACTCAAAAAGTGGCGGCTCATTGCAGCACACTGCAAGTGAGACGACTGGCGGTAGCCATTGTCTCATAGACAGAGGAGGGGAAAAGGGAGACGGTTGAGGGGGAAGGTGAGCGATGAGATGGGAAGGAGAATAGAGGCAGGAAGAAAGAGGTCAAGTATGAAGTTCGAAGTCTAAAAACACATGCTCACACAAGGAAGAGAGGAGACAAAAGGAAAAGGGGAATGAGGATGAGAGGCTGAGGGAGCATGAAGAGAAAGATGAAGAGAAGTGGGGCAGGGAGGAGCAAGATCAGAGGGAGGAAAGAGGAAAGAGGGGAGGAAGAGCACACAGAGGGAATATGAGACCAATGGGGGAGAAGGAGTGGAGGGGAATGAGGAGATGGGACGGGGTGGGGCCAGGTAAGACGTAAAACATCGCAGGTCATAGGCCTCGGTTGCATCAGGGGTGGAACTCATGAAATGTGCTTGGGAGCAGCCACGGGAGCAGCTAAAACAGCTGTTTTGGAGCAGGTTGGGAGCAGCTAAAACTACACTCTGGAGCAGGCTAGGAGCAGCTCAAATCAGTTTTCATCGCACTCCAGCTTATGTCTTAGACAAGCACGGGAGCAATTTCAGTTGTGCTTAGCAGCCCAGATAAACATGAGTGGTTAGGGACCTAGGCAGATGGGATAACAGTGTAACAGATGCGAAAAATTGGAACTTTGTGAGCCTTGATATTTTCCGAGTGGCTTTCAGCTGCTCAAAATGCAAACCAGCACCGCTTATCGCACAGTCCACACGTCCTCGACAGAGTGATTTTATGTGCGAACCACGTGACGTGCGTAAGCAACGGACGTGCAGTTGCGCGGAAGAACAGGGAAACAAATTTCGAGTTTCTCATATTGCGCAACTCAATATCGCAACAAAATTCGAGTTTATCCTATTGTGCAACTCAATATCGAAGCAGCAGACTACGATTAACGAAGTTATCGTATTCGAAGCGATAAGCAGGAGCAAGGTAATGCCGAGCAGATCGACCGCTCGCGTGAGAGCTGCTGGCCGGCAAGGTTTCGGATCGGACTGCGTTTCAGATCTATCAAATCACGATTTATCTTGCAGGAATGCGGTTCCAACTTCTAACGATGAAGTGCTAGAAGGAATCTTTTGCTCATTTGTTTTCAACTGACTGGCGTCCGGATCCCGGGCTGCGGAGCCTCAGGCAATCTGACGCTTAACGACTCGACCTCACCTCGACCGACTTGTTTAACCGCTTATGGTTGAAGAATAACAATCCAGAGGCAGATGGTGTAGCGCTTGGAATCCGAACCCCGAATTTTTTTCGCACACTTCCTACTCGGGATACACAGGGAGAATAAAGAGAAAAAAAGGATTGCAAGGCCGACCAAGCTAAACGCGATCATTGTTGCCAATCGAGTCGATAGAAACCGAAATCAAGACAAAATACAATTTTTTTGGGGCACGTTTGGCGCGAGGTATTGGCTGTGGCGCAGTTTCCGAAACATGGCGCAGGATGGCGCAGACAAATGCGTCTGGCGCAAAATGGCGCAAATGGCGCAGCCGTTCCACCCCTGTTGCATAAACACAAGATCACACCTCCCCGACCACTCCAAATGAAGAGCCATATGCAGCTGCCACCAAAAAGAAAAGGTCAAAGGCCATGAACATAGAATCACTCAAACGAGAGAGAAGGGGGAAGAGGGGAGGAAAGATGAGTAGGATGGGTAGCAGGAAGAGGAAGGTGGACAAGAGAGTGGAGGAAGAGGGGAGGGAGGAATAAGGAGACCGAGGAGATAGAAGGGGAGATGGCGAGGAGGAGCAGTCAAGGGTCCGAAGTCGAGATCAAAGGTCAAAGGCAACGAACATATAATCCTATGAAGGTGGGGAAGGGGGGGCCACAAACATTAAATCATGCGAGGAAATGAGGAGTGAAAGGTTAGAAAAGGCAACATAGGAGAGATGGGACGGGAATGGGGTGAGATTAAAGAAAAGTGAGTGAGAGGGGGGGGGGGGGGGGGCAGGTAGGAAGGAGATCTAGCATCAAGGGCCACGGATACAAGGACGCACTCCGCCGACCACTCAAAATGAAGGGCCCCAAGGGGGGAGGCACTCACTTTATCAAGTGACGTGTTAGCGAATGTCCACGTTTCACCGAATGACACTTTAGCGAAAATTCGGACGCTGCGAAGCGGCGTTCTCGGGTGGGCCAAGTGGGTTCACATTTTTGTAATGAGCCGCCGCAGACTCGCCGCGCGGCGGATGGGTTAACGCGCGCCCCCGTTATTCGCTAAAACGTCGATTCGCTCAAATGCCGCTGTTCGCTAAAACGTCATTCGCTCATCTAATATGGACCCTAATTATAATGAAACGAGTATAATCGCACACACATTGTTAGCCCCCGTTCACTTCTCGCCAAAGAGCCGTCGACACGAGAACATATTTGAGCTTGAGGCTTCGAAGCTCGCTCTGCGTGGACCACTCTTTGCCTACATTTGTTATCTGGACACATCACAATGGCACAGCACAGTCGCATAGCCACGGTACTACCGTTTCGATGTTAACAGTTCACTATCGTTACCGATATTACGGTCGAGGTCATCCACTGATCACTGCAAGACGTTGCAAGATCGCCATCGTCCGCCATGATTGCACACTAGTACGGCATCACGGTTATGGCTGTACGGCTTATACCAATTTCCAATTTCTCCAATCGATGTAATGTTTTATAACTCTTAAAAAAAACTTATTTTAGTACTGTCAGACAGATTTCCACAGTTTATTCCTACTTGAAACTTCATGTTTAGTCGTTTACTCGTTTACGCACACTGTTGACAAGCCAAGACGCCAAGAGTGCAAGTAGCTCAAGCCAAGCAAGGTCGAAGCCAGGTTGACCACGTGACCGTATGTCAACGGACCGTCAAGGCCTGTTTCATCGGACCGCTCTGCCGATCTCTCGGCGTGGAGGAAACGTAAACAAAGGTATGTTTCATTTTCGTTGTTGTTACTACTTGTGCTGAACAATGGAGCGGGCGAAGCGTTCGCTATCAGAGCTATCCGATCGCCAAAAAAGACATAGAGTAGCCGAAAGTGTTCGCAAGGAACTTGAAAGTTGCGGTACGAGCAGTGAGGAGTCGGTGGACACTGAGGTGTTTAGTAGCAGTTCGTACCACATCTCCAAACTTCTGTAATGGACAGGGAATTTAAAACCTGGAAAAGCTGGGGAACTTAGAAGGAGGAATTTGCTAGACACCCTGGCTGATTTCATAGTTACCGATGTCTGCCAAGTTATGCTGAAGTAGGGCATGAAATTGTCGATATTTCACTGTGGTAGCTGACGTTGTGTTGTAATTATATACTTTTGAAACAGGAGCTGTGCGCACCTGCTTTAAACAGAAGGCAGAAAACAATGAGCCAGCCATCATCGTGCAGGAAGCCGACGCCAAATGGGCTGCTGCTGAATCGGTCAGGCATGCACCAGCTAGGACCAAGAAAATGGTAATATGATATTTCTAATTTTGCTTAAACGCCCGAAAAATACTTTTGCATCCTAAAACAAGCCCAGATTTCAAACAAAGGCATTAGTCCACTTTACATAAAGACATTTTTAAGTATTAAGAAATTTATTTAGCCAATGAAAGAACACCATGTTATGACATCGTCTGCAATGAGCTTGACATTGTAGAAAATATGATGCTCATTGACATTGCCCCTGGGTCCGGACAGTTCATCAAACGCCGTTTCATTGAACATTGTTTCATCGAAGCTGTTTCATTAAACACAGTTTTATCGAACGCTGTTTCATTGAACGCCATTTCATCGAAGTTGTTTCATTGAACGTAGCTTATTTGAGCAGTAGAAATATTTTTCTTTTTAGTGCCGGGAGGATAGCAGTGTTTTAATATTTATTGTAACTTATAAACTTATATATTTATAAAAGGAAGGAACCTTTTTTTGTCACCTTCTATTCTTTTTTTTTTAGTAAATGATGACTTCTGTTAATGAGGCCAATAAGACACGGTAACACTAACGACACTTTTAAAAGCTGTGATCATCAGGTGCAGTGATGAATGCACATCCATTCAGAAGCGTATACGGTATATATCTTCATCCTTGAAGAGACCTATTCTGCTTCAAGATGAAGCCATCCTTGAGGCAGTGATCTGTCTCCGTGGCCCATGATACGGGGAAAAGAAAAGACGTGTCTCCTCTCTTTGTTAATTTATTATAATCGACAGAACCGTGGACCTGCCGGATATTCGACATACAGTAATATACTGCATGTCAAAGATCCGACAGGTCCACGGTTCTGTCAGTTACAAAAAATTGACGAAGAGGGCAGGCACGTCTTTTTTAAGAACATCTATGTTCTTAAAAAGAAAGCTATTCTCTTAGGATAAAATGAAAACAAAGTTAAATCTACAAATACAAAATAAAAAAGGCGCTGCGGAAAATAGCTGTTTCCCTCTTAAGAAAGTGCCTTTCACGCATGAATAAATAGAAGGTTGAAGTGGGAAAAAGTGAGTGGCCGAGAACAGCCGCCTACCTTGCCAGAAAAGAATAAGTCGCGTATCCACTGTCTTCTGTGGGTAGGTCACACTTTGCGGTAAAAGTCTAAACTGGATGAAAAGAATGGCTTGTGCATGCAAAGAAACTGTGGTGAAACTGCTAAGACAGATGTAGGCATTTCTTTTTTTATCTTGATGACACTCTTTGCCCTGAAATAGGCACCCATTTTCTGAATGCAACCAACTTTTTTGTGTTATTTTTTTGCAGGAGCAGTGTGCCTCTTCTCAGGAGTGACTGAGGGGCTGCCACAAGGGGAGAAGGCAAGCATGTTTCTGATTACAAGGATGGACAGTTGGGCTGGGCTAGTTGGTAAGAATTCATGTTGAGAAACGGTGCGAAAACCAGACAAAGGAAACAGAACACACAGTACCTTGTCCTGTGTGTTTTCTTATCCGTGCATTTTGCGCTGTTTTTCAGCATGTTTCTGCCTTGATTTTTCTGTTAGTTTTAAATGTTAGTAGTTGGTTACTTTGATCCCAGTTGGAAGCATGGAATTGGTTAACCGTGCTAAATGCATAGAATTGAAAAAAAAAAAAAAAAAATTCATGCTTTCTAAATCATTTAAAATGCTTTTTTTCCTAATGATTTCTTTCTCTTTTTTTACAGCCATCCCATGAGTAGAGTCCCTGTTGTTTGAATTTTTTATGTCAATTTGTAATATGCATATGTTACCTTTAATTTCTATTCATGCATACATTTTAGCCCCAGCTAGTGGTTTCTTTTATTTAATTTATGTACACATTAGTGTGGTATTTTTAGAAGATTTAAAATTTATGTTCTTTTTCTAGTCATTTTTGGTTTATTGCCTCCGTTATTTATTTATATGTCCTAGCCCAAGATCGGGTGTAATTTGAGATATATTTAGAATTTTATTTTAGGCTACTTGCTTTATGTTACTGGGAGTTTTAATATTTTACATTTTTATTTTTATGCAGATCAGCCTTGTAATTTAGTGTGTTCTTTACAATTTTGTAGATCTAATAGCTTGTAAGAAACAGAAGAATTCTCTGGTACTTGTAATGTTGGTTTCGTTTTTGAAATAAATTTATTCCAATAACTTCTTGTTTTCTTCCGGAGTCCTGCTTCTAGGATTTCAAAATGCTGATTCATTAATGGCCTGTAATGCACATCCATTTACTCATATCAGGCACCAGCTCAAAAAATGACTTCATGACAACCATAAATGCAGTTTCCTGGCAGCGCTTGTCAATGTATTTTCGGATAACATTGTTCAGTAATGTCCAAGTAACACATGCAGTAATATCTGGCCAGTGCCAGCATATTGTAAAAACGTTTACTGAAAGTTGACAGAATAAAAGCACTGAGGAAAAACAGATGACCGCTCTTTCATTTAGTTACGACGCTCGTTTTTTGGAAGCAAAGACTCGCGCACAGGTCAAGATTAACTGCAAAAGGAAGGCTTGATCAAAGGAACTTTAGGGAGATAAGGGATGAGTCAGTAACACTCCACCTTCGGTATCTAGTTGATCTCGACCTGTATGCGACTCTTTGCTCCTCAAAAAATAAACGTTGTTGCGAAATAAAAGAGTGGTCGTTTGTGTATGTTCTTCACATTTTTATTCCTTCACTTTTAAGTAAGCCGTAATGTCAGTGCAACATTTTGGTGTAACATTACTGGATGGTAGAATTCGTGGCCATTAACAACAACTAGCAACGTTAGCGACGACGTCCTAGTAACATCACTGATCTAGCATCCAGGTAACATAGAGAGCTATGTTACTGCAACATTTTGATGTGACGTTACTGGAAGGTAGAACTGGTGGCCATTAGCAACGTTTGGCAACGTTATCTAACAACGTTCCAGTAACGTTATTTGGATAATGTCCAGGTAACGTATGCAGTTACGTTACTGTAACATTGTGGTGTAACGTTACTGGAGTGTAGAATCCGCGGTCGTTAGCAGCGTTCGGCAACGTTACCTGACAACATTCCAGTAACGTTGTAGCCACATTTTGTGCTACTTGGGAAGGTTGGATAGTTTGATCAGCGACTTTGGAACTAGGATTGAATCATTAGAATCTAAAATGCAAACGTTTGAAAATGTAGAGCGTGACACATCACGAGTTTATAACCAGGTCCGTATCTTGTCAGAGAATGCGGACGATATGGTTAGGAAACTCGATGACTTGGAAAATCGTGGCCGAAGACTAAACCTTGTCTTTTATGGTATCGAAGATCGGGAGCCCCGCGAGAGTTGGGAAGCATCCGAAAATCTGGTTAGGGCCTTCTGCCAGGATAGACTGCAGATAACGTTCGGGGAAGTTCAGAGAGCCCATAGGATCGGGAAGTATGGACCTAACTATAACCGCCCGATTATTGTAAATTTCGCATCCTACAAGGACACAGAAAAAATTCTTAGTAATGGTAGGAAACTTAAAGGTAGTAATTACGGCGTTTCGAGGTATTTCTCACCTCGTGTCAGGGAAATTCGTCGTAGGCTATGGGCGGTTGGCAAAGCACGGAAACAAAACAGCCAGGACAAGGTTTCGCTTGTGCATGATAAGCTAATCATAAATGGTGACGCCCATGGATGGGATGATATTACAGAATCTGTGATCAAATTAAATAAGCAATGACGACCTGTTTCAGCATTGAAATCCGTGACTGAGTGTGGCGTCCTCCTGATTAACTGTCAAAGCATAAAAAATAAAATTGATGACTTCAATGGGCTTTTGCAGATTTTTAATCCCGATATTGTTTTCGCAACTGAGTCATGGTTGGACGCTTCAATCAAAGACTCTGAAATATTTCCGTCTGATTATCGGGTTTATAGGAAAGATAGAAATGCTCGTGGAGGAGGGGTATTTATCATGGTCAAAGAATTGTTCCACAGTGTAGAGATTGATATTCATTGTAACGACGTAGAATCCGTATGGTGCAGATTAAGCACTCCGGAAATGGGCTCGATGGCATTGGGTTCCTTTTATCGTCCTCCGGGAGCCAGCGTTGAGGCTATCAGGTCATTAGATTCTATCTTGTCCACACTTCCTGACGATCGTTTTATATTGGCTGGGGATTTTAACTTGCCTGATTTAAAATGGGACGGGAATACACCGTCCGGTGGCGTTTCTTCGGCATTTAATGATGTAATCAGTACGTATGGCCTTAAGCAGTATGTCTCGACTGCTACTAGAGGTGCCAATATTCTAGATCTAATACTATGCAATGACCCAAATGTGGTTCGATGTGTGAGTATCCTACCGGGAATAAGCGACCATCACATAGTTACTGCTAAGTTTATCCTGCCGCAATTAGTCCCTGCCAGCCACGATGTTAAAAAAGTGTACATCTACGGTAAGGCCAATTACAATGAAATTATAAATGATCTAGAGGACGAACTAAATATGTTTATGTAAAAATCATTGTCTTATGATGCCAACTCACTGTGGACTGACTTCAGAAATCTGCTGTCAAAGCTCGTCGATAAGCACATTCCTTGTAAATATGTAAAGGACAAACCAAAACCCGACCAACCTTGGATGAATTATAAAGTAAAAAAAGTAGTTAGAAAACGCTCACGTATGTATTCCAAGTATCAAAAAAATCCTACTGCCAATCTTGAGTACCGTCTAAAAGAGCTGGATATAGCCTAGGAGCACCATAAGTACGGCCAAGGAGGATTATTTCACTGGACTGGCAAAGGCTGTCAACATAAATTCGAAAGCCTTTTGGAGTTACCTTAGAAAAACACGAAAAGAAAGAACAGGCTTTCCGAGTATTACAAATACTGGTGGAGTCATAACAGATAATACAACTAAAGCAAATTGTTTCAATGATTATTTTCAGTCAATATTTCTCAAAAACGGTGACTGCGAACATTTGCCGATTCTTACAGATAGAGTGGAAAATGCTATGCCTCCCGTCATAATCATGCTAGAGGGAATACGAAATTGCTTAAACTCTTTAAAAGAAGACAAGGCCGTCGGTCCAGACGAGATGTCCCCCAAGGTATTAAGAGCCTGCTCGTGTATAGTTTCACAATACTTGTATGTAATTTTTTGTAAATCTCTTGGAAGCGGATTGCTCCCTAAAGAATGAAACAAACGTATGTTGTATCAATTCATAAAAATGGTCCAAAATCAATTGTTGACAATTACAGGCCGATTTCCTTGAGCTGTATATCATGTAAGATATTTGAACATATTGTCTATAGAAGTATAATTAAGCACCTAGAAGATAATACCTTTTTTTGCCCTAACCAACACGGTTTTCGTAGAGGTGTCTCCTGCAGTACCCAATTAATTGAGCTCTATCGTGATTTAGTTAGTGCGGCTGAAAACAGACTGCAAACGGATGCCATTTTTGTGGATTTCCGCAAAGCGTTCGATTCTGTTTCGCATCAATTGTTATTACACAAAATGAGTGCTTTAAATATCGACCGTAATGTGCTCCGGTGGATAAAAGACTACCTGAGTGGGAGGAAACAGTGCGTCGTCCTGGGGGGTAAAAGACCAGAATACGTAGATGTAACTTCGGGGGTACCTCAAGGGTCAGTGCTGGGACCACTTTTATTTTTAATCTACATTAATGATTCAGCGTCTTCCATCTCTTCTAATATCAGATTATTCGCGGACGATTGTGTAATTTACAGAACAATAAGGAACGTTAACGATGTCTCTTCTTTGCAAGAGGATTTGAACCAGTTAGTTTATGGTGCGGGACCTGGGAACTGGGGTTAAACACAAGCAAATGTTTTCATGTCGCTTTTAGTAAAAAGAAACATAATATTGATTCGGCTTATGCTATTGGTCGAGACTCGTTGCGGAAAGTGTCTGAAATTAAATATCTTGGTGTCATTCTTTCAGAAAACCTTTCGTTCAATCAGCACATAGATATGATCATGAAAAAGGCTGGCAGGGTTCTTAGCTTAGTCATCCGCAATCTTCGCTCTGCTCCACAAATCTTGAAAGAGACAGCGTACCGCTCACTAGTTAGACCACATCTAGAATATGCGAGTGCCGTATGGGACCCGCACCAAAAATATCTCATAGATAAGGTAGAAGGCATTCAAAATCGCGCTGTGAGGTTTATTGTGAGTAAGTATTCTCGAGCAGAGTGTGACACAAATGAAAGTTTGTATGGGTATTGAGCCTTTAGAAAAAAGACGTAAAGAAAAATAGACTTAAACTTATTTACGCTATCAACAATGATTCAACTGGAATAGACAAGTCTAATTATCTAGAAATGCCCCACTATATACCGAGTAGGAGGGACCACTTTAAAAAAATACGCGAAATAAAATGTCGAACTAACTATATGATGTTTTCTTTTTTTTTCCGAGAACTATATCGGAATGGAATGAACTGCCGTCTGATATTGTATCAGCTAACAGTGACTCTTTTATTAGCCTTATTAATGCAATGTAAGTTTCTGTGTTAAGTACATCATTGGTTTTTTCGTAATATTGCTATTGTGTGCTGGTGTGAATCATGTTTATTGATGTTGTTGGAAATTGCTGATGTGTGCTGTTATGTGACTTTCCAATTTCTAATGATATATGTGAATCATGTAACCCACTCCT